AGGCTGGAGTGCCATGGCACACTCACAGCCACTCTAGCTTTGACTTGCTGGGCTCTGGTGATCCTTCCACAGCCTTCCAAGTAGCTGGAACTACAGGTGCACGCTACCACACCTGGCTAATTTTTTATTTATTGTAGAGATGAGGTCTCGCCAAGTTGCCGAGGCTCGTCTTCACCTGGCTCTTGAGGTAACCACTTCCCCAATTGAGTCTGTGAGGACTCACGTGTTGAATGAAGAGGTAACAGCAGGCCCTGTTAGTGTTGACAGCCTATGAGGTTATGGATCTGTAGTTGGATCTTCTGGTCATTTCTGTGCTGTGCCACTCACACTAGGAGAGGAGAAAGAGAGCAGACGTAGAATGGATAGAATGGGTAAAAGGGAGAAGTAAAATGCATGCAATTTTCTCCTTCAACAAGACTAGAAAAAGACTTACCATGAGAGGCGTGCCGTATCTTTGTAGGGCCACTTCAGCTCCCTCCATGGTAGTGGAAAAGAATAAACCATGTACTTTCCCCTCACCAGGAGCGAGCTCCTTCAAGGCCCTTAGGGACAGCAGAGCTCTTGAGCAAAAAACAAGGTATTGGCAGTGTCATCATAGAGCTGTCCATCATTTAACAGGAACCTGCCCCATGCCCTATATGGTTCCAGAAAGTTTAGAAGTTCAAAAAATATACAGGCCGCTCCTGACCTACAGACGTCCTCAAGTGGGATGGCTACCAGCCACACACAGCCCGGTTGTCTCCCTCTCCCTGTCCCCTCCTGCCCTTCCTTCCTCCTCTCTCTCTGCTGCTGGGGTCACTCTGGGCTTCCAGCTGGCATAGCCTTTTCTCTCACCAGCTGCTGTGTCTCCAGGGCGGAGTCAGCAGGGCCAGCTGGTGCCTGCAGTCACAGCTGCCAACCTGGCAGTGCAGTGGAATCACCTGGGAACTCTAAAAATATACAGGTGCCTGAGGGCTATCCCAGACCAGTTAAAACTGTGTATTAAAAGCATGGGTATTCATGTATTAACAATCTCCCCAAGTGGTTCACATATAGCAGCCTTCTTGAACCTTACTCCCACCAACCTCTGTCTCCACTCAGATATCCCCATCTCAGTGCTTCCTGTCCCTCTGCCCATAGCCCATTCCTCAATGCTCTGTCTCCAAGACCTTGAGCCCTTTTTCATTGGGGCTCAGTCCTTTCCTGCCTCTTCCACCCCATTCTGACTCCTGTCTCACAGGGGCCCTGCGCAGGTCATGGGGATGCGAACTAAAGTGACATCCACGTGGGAATCTGGGAGACATCTTCCCAAAGAAATGTGGCTTGCCAGTGGTGGACGGAGCTGCACTGATCTTTCAGTGATTTATTAACTTAGCAGGCTTTTATAGACTGACTTGGGAACTTAATACCACATGTAAATATTGTTTTCATTTAAACATTGAGGCATCCACTATGTAAAGCAGTAATATTCTATTCATGTCTTCCATGTGTTTACCATCTAGTAAGAAGAGATTGAAACTCCCAGAAAAATATATTCCAAGGCGTGATTTTGTCCTCTAGATGAGCCATTCTTAAACTTGGGCCTATTTAGGGATTGCTTGGGGGCATTTAAAAAATGCACTTGTTCTGATCACATTCCACTTAATTCTGATTCAGTGTTTTGTGGGTGAAGCTTGAGTTTGGGATTTTGAAACAAGCTCCCCAGAAGATTCTGGTGTGTGTCAAAGTTGGACAGGGATCTGTGTACATGGATTTGGAGAGAGGAGAGCTCAAAGAGGCTATAGTAGGTGGAGACGACTTTGTGAAGGAGGGTCTTGGGTTTGTCCTTTTCCTAGATAAGCCCAATCAGGGGAGGCAACTTGGGTGGGCTTCTCTCCCCAGCTCTGATAGCTTCTCCTTCCTAGATGTTGTTTCTTGGTGTTCCTACCCTTATGCTTGGCTACAAAGGTCCTGAGTTTGGGTGTGCTGGCACCTTCTTTACTGGTCAGGAAGTGCCTGCCTGGGGCTGTTGGAGTGCCACCCTGGCAGCCAGCTGTCACCATGAATCTTCTAGGTCCAGTAACTGGAGTGGACACTGAGCATCACTTTGGATCAAGCCTCAGGGATCCTGGGGCTGTTTTCTCCCGTGTCATGCATTTCCCCTGGGTGGGGAGGAAGGTGGTGGGGAAGCAGCCTTTTCAGACATTCGTCATGTTTTCCGGCTTCTCCTGGTGGAGAGGAGGTACATTTGAGCCCAGGAGTAGACTGTGGGTAGGGCGTGGGTGAAGGGGTGAGGACCCCCACCCTTGCCCCAAGAGGGAAAGCAGAGCTCTGCTGTGTCTTTCTGTCTAAACTGGGAGAGCTGCCAGGGCTGCTGGACAGAGGGAGGGCCAAGCAGCCCTCAGGGATGGAGGGGATGGAGCAGTTGAAATCTGATCAGTTCACTTCTGTCCTTACATTAGGGTCAGTGTTGGACGGTTCCCCAAATCCCACTTCATCACTTGGAATTCACTCCTGACGCTCCAGGCTGTGTTTTGGGGTGAGGAGAGGGAGTTGTGCAAGAGCAGCCCCAGCTTGGACTTTGTGACTCGTAGTTAGCGTTGTGGGATGGGAATGCGCCCGTGTATCTCCCCACCACCCTGTGGAATGGGCTCATTATCTCCATTTTATAGGTAAAGACACTTGCCTACGGTCATGGAGCATTAATGTCACAGCTAGAATTCCAACAGCTCAAGCTTTTAAAATTACACCATGCTGCTGCCAGGGCACTGGTTTGGAAGTCGGGAGACCTGCACTTTGGCTCAGCCTCTGCCACCAATTAAGTGACCTTAGGGTTTCCGGAAACTGCAAAATGGGGTGGGAGTGGGGGCAGATGCTCAGTTCCCAGCAGGGATTGGGGCTCCCTGTGTCCCCGGAGCCCCTTGGCTATAAGAAGGCAGACATAGCTCTTCCAGCCAACGCATGCTGGGCAGCACTGAGACTGCCAGGGTGGCAGAGCAGTTTGCATGCCCCTCTAGGGCAGTGTCAGCCACTCATGCCCTTTGGGGAGCTGTGGCTCCTATGTGGGCTTTGATTTAGGGGCTCAAGACCTGTTTTTCCCTACCTTAAAGAAAAAACAGTTGCTGTGTAGCTGGAAAAAATGTGTAATTAAAAGTATAATCAGATCATCCACAGTTCAAGTGCTAATCTATTCAAAAGCAGCTTTTTAGCCTTGCCACCTTGTTTGCAAGGGGAGGGTCAGGGAGTCCAGCATCCTTTCTAGGCCTCCCATTCCTAGATTATAGGGTTCTGAGAATTCTTTTTTTGAAGTATCATCCCCATCCATTTTCTTGCTTGAGTTTGCTTCAAATGATTTATGTGAATTTAGAGAACTAGGGCTCGAAGGACTCTTCCTTGCCGCCTGACACATCTCGTAAGGCCTGGGATGATGGGTCATTTCACTGCTAACCCTTAGGTATGTTTACTAAATTTCCATTACCCAAGATTCACTTTCTTGTGTTGCTTGGAGATGAGACCAGGTCATGGGGGCTTCAAAAGCTTTTCTTTGAGACTTTAGGCAACAGTTTAAGAGGTCACCAGGAGCTACAGACAGAGTTCATGGGGGAGTGGGTTTTCCATATCACTCCACAGCTGTGGTTTCTGCTTTTGACTGTTACTTTGCTATATGACTGCCCTGTGTCTTCATTGCTTTGTCTTCATTGCTTGATCCCCCACAGTGGAGAAATTAGAAAGCCAAAGAGGTTATGCCGAGGTCACTAGACATGGTGCCTGTGAGTTTTTTGCTGTTGTCATATTATACTCAGTGTTTCCTGGAGTATAGGCATCATTCTGTTTCCTAGAGTATAGGCATCATTCTGTTTGGTACTCAAAACAGTCCTGAGAAGTAGGTTGAACAGTTACATTATTACTTTTAAAAAATTTCTATACCGTGTGGGTTTGTATTCTATGAATTATGAAAATAATTTTGAACGGCGTAAAACAGGACAAAGGACAAAGTCAATGAGATCTCAGGGCACAAAAAATATAATAGCTAACATTTGTTGAGAGTGTTCTCAAGACAGGGGCAATTCCAGGTGCTCCTTTTTTTGAGTCAGAGTCTCACTCTGTCACCCACGCTGGAGTGCAGTGGCAGGCTCATAGCCGTCGCAGCCTCAACATGCTGGGCTCAGGCAATCCTTCAGCCTCAGCCTTCCAAGTAGCTGGAACTATAGGCATGTGCTACCACACCCAGCTAATTTTTTAATTTATTGTAGAGATGAGGTCTTGCCAAGTTGCTCAGGCTGGTCTTGAACCCCCAGGCTCAGGCCGTCGTCTTACCTCCGCCTCCCAAAGTTGTGGGATTACAGGCGTGAACCACCGTGCCCTCATCCTCACAACTGTCTTATGAAGCAGGTACTACTATTTATTATTATTTCTATTTTTGTATAAGGGAAAACTGAGGTTCAGGTGTTAAGGAACTTGTTCACAGTGGAATACATGCTTTTTTTTTTTCTTGCATCAGGATCTTTCTCTTGTCTAGGCTGCAGTGCAGTGGCATGACCCTGGCTTACTGCAGCCCCGACCTCCTGGGCTCAGGTGATCCTTCTACCTCAGCATCCTGAGTAGCTGACAGGTGCACACCACCACTGTCAGCTAATTTTTTAATTTTTTTGTAGAGACGAAGTCTCACTATGTGACCCAGGTCTCAAACTCCTGGGCTTAAGCAGTTCTCATGCCTTGCCCTCCCAAAGTGCTGGGATTACAGGTGTGAGCCACTGACCGAGCACACACTTTTACTAGAACACCCCTCCATAATAAATAAGACTGGGGTAATGTTAATATTACAGGTTTTATTTCAGGAAGCCTGAATTGACATCCAGGAATTATCATCACTGTTTTATAGGTGAGGAATGTGAGTTACAGAATGGTTAAGGGACTTGCTCTAGGTTGCCAGGCTGGAAAGTGGCATAAACAGAGCTAGAATCTTGGCCTTCTGTCTCTGGGTGCTGTTTCCATGGTCTCACATAGCATCCTTCTGAAACGGAAAAACATGTGTCTTTCAGAACCTGGCAATTGGGGCAGGAGCTGTTGGAGCTTTGAAGCTGACCTACATCTCGAAGGTAATGTTGGCCTAGAACTCTGGGAATTCATGTACTCTAAGTCAGTTTAGTATCTATGTAAAAGGAGGTGTCAGCTCCTTTAGGCATTAATGTCAGGGGACATTGTAAATGGGTGCTAAAATGCCCCCCTTACCCCAAACATGGCCTGTGGAAGTCCAGTTGCTGACTGGGGTGGCTGTAGTGGCCATCAAGTTCTTGGAGAGTGAGCCTACAGCCTCTTACTCCTCGGACACATGTCTGAAATGCTCCCAGCGCCCGCAAAGGAGGTGTAGATGGTGGTTGAGCTTGGGGATAAGGGAGGCATGACCTTTTTTTTCACATTGGGACAAAAAGAAACACAGAAACCACCACCCCCAAATCCAGGAACTGTAAAGGCTTTTCTGAAGGCTGCAGTTAACAGGAGCTGCTCAGAAAGTGTTGGGGCTTCCCTGGAAGCGTGTCAGTTACCTAAACAGGATAACTAAGAAAGCTAAGAAGGCCCAGAGAAGCTACTCAGATGAGCCCAGAAGACACTCAGCAGCCACATAACTGCTGGGGAGTCTGGCATGCAGCTGTCAGGCCACCCACTAGTCCAGTCTGCATAGAAGGGGCCGCCCCTCTCCCGGGCTGAAACTGGGGGTGGAGGCTGATTAATGATGCCCATGTGTAACTGCTGAATTCAGCTTCTTTCAGTGGCCCCTCCCTAGAGCAGGCCCTGCTGCTGACCCGTGATGCAGCAGTGATAAAAAGCCGGGGATTTAGAGCCTCCCCAGAAAGAGGAACTCTTTGTACAGTGAGGAGAGCCAGGTGGCATCCAGCCAGCTCTGAGGTTTCGGAAGTCCTGCTCTCCCTGCACCCCCTCACTCGAGGCCTCACGGGGGCCTCTGCTGCCTTGCCTGCCCCCTCCCATCCTCGGGGGCTTGCGACCTTGGGAGCCCCTGAACTCAGTGGCCACCGGTTCCATCTTGTAACATGCTCTGGGAGCCCTCCACCTCTGCTAGTCAGGAGATGAGTCTGGAGGGAGTTCCAGGACCTTGGGAAGAGAGGCCACTCTTAGCCGGAGGCACAGGCTGACCCTGGGCATGTGGGCTGCAGGCAGAGTCTGGCCCACACCGCTCTGCACAAAGGCAGAAGACACAGGGCAGCATCAGGGCCGATTAGAGAGAGAGATGATGACCTCAGGGGAAGGGGGAAGGGCCTCTTAAAGTACAGCGTTGCTAGCACAGCTGTGGGCAATTTGTGCATGCCTTGTGGGGAGAAATGTGGCTGCCTCCCCAGGCCAGACCCGCAGGGGACTTGGGCCTGTGCCCCCCCACTGGCTGAGGTCATTTCTTCAGGAGATTCGGAGACAGAGAATTGAGAGAGGTGGGAGCAGAGTACACCGTAATAGTTCATGAAAACTGAAACCCTCTACTGTTTGAGAGGGTTTGGGAAGACGTTTTGGGTTTGTTTTTTTTTTTTTTTTGTGGGGAAGAGTGAATACAATCTCCCGCTGAATCATGATTTATAAATGCAGCTCAGATGAGGGTTTTTAGAATTCTCAGCTTGGAGGCATTTAAAAAGGATGACCTGCCTTTTAGCCCTTCCTGAGAGAGGCAGGCCTGGGTGGGCATTTTGCAAAACCCACAGCTGCCACCGGGTCAGGTTACTCAGGGCTGAGAGCCTTTAACTCCTACCTGACCCATGCCAGAAAACAGGGGTTTTCCCAGAAAAACAGCCATGGTGCTGGAATCCAGTTCAGCATTCCAGAATATGTCTTGTTAACCTTTAGGAATTCCCTTCCCGGGAATTATTCTTTTCCAAGGGAAAGCACTTACTACTGTGCCAGACAGCCTCGGTGCACACAAGGGCTCTCTGTTTAGGGTGTGCTCCCCTGCTATGACCCGAGGGATCGGCATGTGGCCCTTCGATCAGGCAGAGATGAAAGGGCATGATCTGCTCCTGTCACCCCAGACATCCACGGCAACAGAACCAGTTCTTGGGCAAACTAGAAAATAATTAAAGCTGCCCTTTGACCCCAGCCACCCTCCTATTCCAGCCATCTCTGCACAGCCAGCCCCCGCCCCACTGTCCCAGGCCCAGCTGTGTCCCATTTTTCCAGGGCCTTGGTCTCAGTTATCTATCGGGAAGAATCGGGGTGGGTTTGGTCATGGATCCTTCTGAGTCAGATGAAAAGCATGAACTCCTTGCTCAGGTGGACATATAGATGTGTGTAAACACCCTGACTTTGCCTATCATCTTGGGGGGCTCCCTGACTCCATGATGCTGGTCCAGAGGCCCCAACTCAGAAGTCCTTCAGTCCTTCTGTGCGTGTGGCTTCTATTCCCTGCTCCTGATGCTGCCTCGTGCCGAAGGTCACCGCAGGCACTTGGGTAGGGCCGCTCCAGCGCTACAAGACCTTGTTTTGCTGCTGCTAGCTCTGTCAGAGAGGCCCCAGCTCCCCTTCCGGCCAAGGGCAGACGGGGTGGGGCTGGCCCTTGCTGTGCCCAGCCACTGCTGAGCTTGCTGCTCCTGTGGTCTGTGTTTGATCTGATAAGAGCGAGTTCCCGAGAGTCTGTAGAGCTGTGGAGCTGCCCCATCTGCGTCACTCTCCAGGGACCCGTGCCCACTCCCTGCCCTGACCTCCTCCAGCTGCAGGGGTGTTCGCAGACCCATCCATCCCCCATGGTTGTACAGCTTCTCAGCTGTGGCCGCCTCAGGCGTGCAGATGGCTGCACTTCAGTGCCCTCGCCCACTGCCCCACGCTCTTTCACGAGCATCCTGGGTGCCTTGCCTTCACCATGTCTGAGGAGCTGTCACAGCATGGCATGATCCCCGGCGGGCATTGGGAGGTGGTCTAGTGTGGGGTGACTCCTCCTGCCTCCAAAATGATGGGTGTCCGCGAGAGGCCAAGGCCACTTCTCTGTCATAAGTAAGATCCCCTCCATGGCCGCTCTCTGTGTGGCACAGCAACAGGTAGAAATACTTTCATTTTCCCCCTTTGCCATCCTGTGACTATAAGAAGGGGCTTGTATTTTTATTCTGGCTTTACTAGTTGGAAAGCTGATCAGAGACATGGAGGGTTTTGCCCTTGCCATGAACCAGTCAGGGCAGAACTAGAACCGATCCTGTTAATTCAGCAATGAGTTGCTTTGCCGAATCATCCCCTTATGGTAAGCTGTGAGGCCTCAGGCCAGTGGTAGATGTGCAGGCACACACTCACACACACCTTCTGACGGAAAACCAGATAAACATAGGAAAACAAACAGAAAGCCAGACAATCTCTGTGAAGGCTCCAGTCCCATAGGAAGCACATGGTAGCATTCTCACAGTATAGGCTGGCTAATATTTTGTGGTCACAGGGAAGTATTTGTTATCCAAACAGAATGAAAATTATCAGCCAGTGGTGTTCTCTCCAATCAGTGATATATATGAGTTTTTCAGAGAAAGAACAATTTTCCTAATAAGCCAGAGAAAGTCTCAGAGTGCCCAGCTTTTTTATGTCATTCTACAGCTAGAAGTAGTCCATGCATGGTGGCTCATGCCTGTAATTCCAGTTATGGAGGCTGAGGCAGGAAGATCGCTTGAGGCCAAGAGTTTGAGATCAGCCTGGGCAACACAGCGAGACCTTGTCTCGACCAAAAAAAAAAAAATTAAAAAATTAGGGGAAAGGATTGCCTGAGTCCAGGAGTTTGAGACCAGCCTGGACAACTTGGTGAGACCTTGTCTTTACAATAAATAAAAAAATTAGCTGGGCGCAGTGGCATGTGTCTGTGGTTCCAGATGCTTGGAAGGCTGAGGCAGAAGAATCACCTGAGCCCAGCAGGTCAAGTGCCACTGCACTTCAGCCTGGGTGACAGAGTGAAACTCTGACTAAAAAAAAAAAAATTAGCTGGATGTGGTGGCTGCACTTATACATCCAGCTACTTGGGAGGTTGAGGCAGGAGGATCACTTGAGATCAGGAGTTTGAGAACAGCCTGGCAACATAGTGAGACCATGTCTCCACAAATTTTTTTTTTTTTAAATTAGCTGTATGTGATGGCCGCACTTACGGTCCCAGCTACTCAGAAGGCTGAGACAGGAGGATCTCTTGAGCCTAGGAGTTGAGGCTGCAGTGAGCTATGATCATGCCACTGCACTCCAGCTTGCGTGACAGAACGAGACCCTGTCTCTAAAAAATAAAAACAAAAAACAAATAAATAAGTAAATGAATAATATATGTATTTTTTGAGTTGGAGTCTCACTCCATCACTCAGGCTGTAGTGCAGTGGCATGCTTACAGCCACTCCGGTGTTGACCTGCTGGGCTCCGGCGATCCTACTGCCTCAACCTTTCAAGTAGCCAGAACTACAGGCACACGCTACCACGCCCGGCTAATTTTTAAAAATTTATTGTAGAGATGAGGTCTCACCAAGTTGCCCAGGCTGTTCTCAAACCTGTGAGCTCAGGCAATCTGCTTACCTCGGCCTCCCAAAGTGCTGGGATTACAGGCTGAGCCACTGAGCCACTGAGCCCCTCCTGAATGAATAAATTAAAGTTGGAAGTAGGAGGGTAGCCATGAGATAGGTGGGTTTTTGAGGGCTGGGATGACCAAGGCAGTTCTACAGTGGTCAGGATTATGCAGAGACCAGGGGCAGCACAAGCAGGAGTTTATTGGCATGAGGACCCATGGGAATGTGGATGCTCAGGGCATCATGAAAAATGTGTCACTGACAGGTCAGTATATCAGGTGCAGGCGGGACAAAGGTGAGCACTTGATTTGGATTGAATTTGGAGGTTGGAAACCCATGACAAGACTGCATGAGGGCCTGGACTGTCTTGCAGTGCCGGTGTCCTGTCGCCCGTGAGTTAAGGCCGTACTGAGTTTGGGTAGCCTCTGGTCTGAACTCAGGATAAACATGGGTTTATCTTTGCTGAAATCTTCATTTTTTTTTCCCCCCGAACTGTCTTAGGCCCTATGGCCTCCACCCCACATCATGATAAACACATCAGAATACACCCACATCCCTTATTAAATCTAATTGTTTGACTGTAAAATATTTGAAAGGATTTTAATCGTTTTACTTCTGGAATGACTTGGCTATGAGTAACCCATCTAATTTATGTTTGGCTCTAATTTCTGGGCAATTTTCTTGCACATACGCAAGGATTCTTCTGAACTGAAAAATTCTGAACTACTGATTGTTTTCAAACGTAATGCAGTTTTTTGAATGCTTCATTGAAAAATTAATGAAGTTGGCTTAACATGACATCTTGTGCTGTGCACATTTAGTCAAATGCTTGTCAATGAGATTGATACATTGTTATGCAGACATTTAACTGAATATTCATTACCACTGGCTGTGCCGTCTTCGTTTTGTATGTGGGAGGCCAGACAGTTTTTTCAGTTCTCAAAACATTTTTGCAGGCCCCCAGAAGCTCGTGGGCCCTCAGCATTTTGCCCATCATTTCAGGTGGGCCACTGCCCGTGTTAGCGTGTGGAGTGGGCTTTTAGAGGAAATGAGGTTCGGAAGCTATAAGTAGTCCCTCCTGACTGAGCAGATTCTGGGTGGCTAGATGACCAAGTGTCTCACCTACACTATCTTGTTTACCCTCATGATGCTGTGAGAGCATGATATTATTATCCCTTATTTGATAGAACAGGAAATGAAGGTCACTCAGCTGGGATACCTGTCATTTGAGACTGTCTCCAAAGCCCAGGCTGTCCTCCTGCCTGTCCTTCTTTTGATCTTTTATAAGTTGCTACCTCCGTTCGCATTTGAATATTTGGGGCAATACTAATTTTGGTTAAGGAATCTGGACAGGTCTATAGGAAGAACTTAGAGCCACGAAAAGGCTAATTGTTAGACCCCAGATACTGTGAGCGGTGAAGAGACTTTTTTTTTTTTGAGTTGGAGTCTCACTCTGTCACTTAGACTGGAGTGCAGTGGCTGCTCCTGGCTACTGCAGCCTCGACCTGCTGGGCCCCGGTGATCCTTCCGCCTCAACCTTCCAAGTAGCTGGAACTACAGGTGCGTGCCACCACACCTAGCTAATTTTTGATTTATTGTAGAGATGAGGTCTTGCCAAGTTGCCCAGGTGGGTCTCGAACCCTCAGGCTCAGGCAATCCACTCACCTTGGCCTCCCAAAGTATTACAGGCTGAGCCACTGAGCCCAGCCAGAGACTTTCTTTTTACAAGTTATTTATTTATCTTTTAAATTTGAGGTTCGGGGGGGGTACCTGTGCAGGCTTCTTGCCTGGATGTATAATGTAACGGTGAGATTTGGGCTTCCAGTGTGCCTTTCACCCAAATAATGAACATTGTATCCAATAGGTAATTTTTAAAACCCTCATTCCCTCCCCCTCCCTTTTTGGAATCCCATTGTCTGTTATTTCCATCTTTATGTTCATGTTATTGTTGAGCACTTATAAGTGAGAACATGTGGTATTTGGCTTTCTGTTTGTGGGTTATTTCACTTAGGATAATGACTTCTAGCACCATCCATATTGCTGCAAAAACATGATTTCATTCTTTTTTATGGCTGTGTAGTATTCCATGGTGCATATATACTACATTTTCTTTATCCAATCATCTGTTGATGGACACTTAGGTTGCTTCCATGACTTTGCCATTGTGAATAGTGCTGTGATAAACATATGAGTGCAGGTATCTTTTTTATATAATGTGTTTTTTTTTTTTGGTTGGAGTCTCACTCTGTCGTCCAGACTGGAGTGCAGTGGCCACTCCCGGCCACCGCAGCCTCGACCTGTTGGGCTCCGGTGATCCTTTCGCCTCAGCCTTCCAAGTAGCCGGAACTACAGGCGCGTGCTACCACGCCCGGCTAATTTTTTGATTTCTTGTAGAGATGAGGTCTCGCCAAGTTGCCCAGGCGGGTCTCGCACCCGTGGCTTCAGTCAATTCACTCACCTAAGCCTCCCAAAGTGTAGGCTAAGCCACCGAGCCCGGCTATAATGGGGTTTTTTTCCTTTGGGTAGGATATCCAGTAGTGGGATTGCTGTGTAGAATGGTAGTTCTATTTTCAGTTATTTGATTTTGACTCAAGAATTTCTTCAGCTCCTGCCTTCTTCTTCTTCTTTTTTTTTTTTTTTTGAGTTGTAGTCTAACTCTGTCACCCAGGCTAGAGTGCAGTGGCATGTTCATGGCCACCACAGGCTTAACCTGTTGGGCTTAGGAGATCCTTCACCTCAGCCTTCCAAGTAGCTGATACTACAGGTGCACACCACCATACCTGGCTAATTTTTTGATTTATTGTAGAGACAACGTCTTGCCAAGTTGCCCAGGCTGGTCTTGAACACCAGGACTCAGGCAATGCTCTTGCCTCCACCTCCCCAACTGCTAGGATTACAGGCATGAGTCACTGCGCCCGGCCCTGGTCCTGGCTTCTTATATGCCTCTCATTAAAGCAGGAACCATGCCTGGAGCCCCCAGGTGAGAACAAGTAGAAGAATGCCCTTGGCTGGAAAGGGATCGAGGGAGTGATTTCTAGGGGAGGATTATGGCAGTATGTGAATTGTCCCCAGCCTAGGTCCGGTGGGAAGGTGGCTGCCTCCTTAGAGATCCCAGGTAGCTGGGTGCGGTGGCTCAAGCCTGTAATCTCAGCACTTTGGGAGGCCAATACTAGAGGATTGCCTGAGTCCAGGGGTTTGAGACCAGCCTGGGCAATTTGGTGAGACCTCGTCTCTACAATAAATTAAAAAAAAAAATTATCTGGGCGTGGTGGTGCTTGCCTGTAGTTTCAGCTACGTGGAAGGCAAAGTTAGGAGGAACACCTGAGCCCAGCAGCTCGAGGCTGTGGTGGCTGTGGGCATGCCACTGCACTCCAGCTTGGGTGACAGAGTGAGACTCTGACTCAAAAAAAAAAAAAAAAAGGAGAGATCCCAGGTATAGTGATAGAGACCTGCTCCCTGGAGCAGGTCACCTAAGTGCCTTTTAAAAGCCACCTAATCTTTGTGGGCACATGATGGAATATGAGTGGCTTTCTTTATTCTTTTAGTGTGTTTGAATCTGAATGATGTGGGCTCACTTATGCTGATACTCTGGAATGTACCTGCAAGGGGTAGGATTGCAAAAGCAAGATTAAATAAAGCAACAAGGAGGTGTAAAGTCCTTCCCCTGTCTCACGCCCTTCCCTTTAAAAAAAAATGATCCCTTTTTTTAATTTAAAAATAAGTAAAACATGCAAAGAGAAGATCTGAGAGTCTAGCATCAAGATATTAATAATGACGGCCTTAAGAGTAATTTTTATTGTTTTCCTTTGTGTAACTATATTTTCTAATTTTTACACAAAAGCACATTGCTTTAATCCACTGGCACACCCTCTAATTCCATCAGCCCCTCTCTGGGCTTGCGGAGGGTGCTTGTTTTCATGGCTAGGCCGTCTGGGCAGATGAAAGGCAGTCGAGTGATGGATGCGGTGTGTCTAAATGCAGTGCGTGTGTCTAAATGCAGTGTGGGGCCTGCTGCCTCGTCTTCCGGGACACTCACACTGGAATCTGCATATTTTTGCCAATTCTGCTTTCAGTTGGGAGGACTGTTTAGGGAGTGTTTGGTGGTTGAAGGATGAGTGGAATTCTGCCAGTGTGGATGAGGCCAACACAGGTTTTGGGGGTCAGAGAGAATTTTGTCAGGACGCAGTGGCTTTTAAAGATGTTTTGTCAAGACAGAGATGAATGCATTGAATGCAGACATCAAGATAGTGGTTGTCTCTGAGGGGTGGGGATTCTATGCTGGAGGGGCACGCCAAAGGCTTCCAAGAAGTTGGACTGATGATGCTTGTTTCTTAATCTGGATGATGAATATGAGGTTTTCGCTTAGTTATTATTTTTAAAACTGTACACACACATTTAATGTACTCTGGGTATAAAACGTTTCACAATAAAAAATATGTAACACTGTGAGAAACATATTCATGTTTCTTTTATTTTTTTATTTGATTTAGGTGAGCATAGCCACCCCAAAGCAGAAACCAAAAACTCCATTTTGCTTTGGTAAGTACGGAGCCAGGGGATGGGCCTTCTTAGCAACTTCCTCTTTTGCATGGAGACAGTCCTGTGATCACTTGTGACTATACCATGTGTGTATGAGTGATTTAAATCACAGTGACATTCCTGGGTGTCAAATGATACTGCTTTCCCTAGTCTTCCTACAAAGATTGTTATTAACACAAGAATAGAAGTCAAGGGACCAGTAACATTTCGGGTATTCTTTCCTTTTTTTTTTTTTTAAAGAGACAGAGTCTTACTCTGTTGCCCAGGTTGGAGTACAGCGACACGATCCTAGCTCACTGCGGTCTTGAACTCCTGGGTTCAAGCGATCCTCCTGCCTCAGTCTCCCAAGAAGTTAGGAGGACTACAGGCATGTACCACTATGTCTGGCTAATTTTTTAATTTTAATTTTTGTAGAGACGGGTACCTCTCTAAGTTGCCCAGGCTGATTACAAACCCCTGCCTTCAAGGAATCTACTCTCCTCTGCCTCTGGAACCTCTGGGTTTATAGACATGAGCTACTGTTCCTGGATGATTTTTTTTTTCTGAACTGGGGTCTCTGTCACCCAGGTTGGCGTGCAGCAGCATCAACATGACAATACGGCTCATGGCAGCCTTGGCCTCCTGAGCTCAGGTGATCCTTCCACCTCAGCATTCTGAGTAGCTGTAGGCTCGTGCCATTGTGCGCGGCTAATTTTTAAATTTTTTTTTTTTTAGAGATCGGTCTTGCTATATTGCCCTGGCTGGTTTTGAACTCCTGGGCTCAAGAAATCTGCCTGCTTCAGCCTCCCAGAGTACTAGGATTACAGATGTAAGCCACCACACCTGGCCCTGGCCACTTTTGTTAAATTGACAATTATTGTACATATTTATGGAGTATATAATATATAGGTTAATTAGCATGTTCATCATCTCACACATTTTTTGTTTTAATTTTTTAAAAATTGAAAAATAGTAGCTGGGTTTGGTGGTACACGCCTATAGTCTCAGCTGCTCAGGAGGCTGAGGCTGGAGGATCACTTGAGCCAGGAGTTTGAGGCTGCAGTGAGTTATGATTATACCACTGTACTCCAGCCTTGGTGACAGAACAAGACCATGTCTCTTAAAAAGAAATTGACAAGGCCGGATGTAGTGGCTCCCACCTGTGATGCCAGCACTTTGGGAGACTTAGGAAAGAGGATCGTCTGAGCCCAGGAGTTCGAGACCAGCCTGGGAAACATGGCAAGCCCTTGTGTCTGCAGTTAAAAAAAAAATTAGGCTGAGGTAGAAGGATCACCTGAGCCCAGCAAGTTAAGGTTGTGGTGGCCGTCATTGTGCCACTGCACTCTAGCTTGGGCGACAGAGTGAGACCCTGACCCCCCCCAAAATTGACAAATAATCATTGTACATATTCTGGAGTCCATAATGTATAATATAATTATCATATCATCTCAAACAGTTTTTTACTTTTGCTTTTAATTTTATTTTTAAAAGTTGACAGTAATTGTACACATATATTTCAGTTTTCTTGTTGCCACAGGACAGGTGCAAAATGTCTGCTAGAGGATTCTGTGAACCCTCATTTTAGTGTTGAGTATCGGTGTGCTTAGGAAAAGTGGAGACTTGGGGGTAGAGAAGAGGCAGTGTCAGCAAGGAGTTAAAAGAAAGGAAGGAGTATTTTGTTGAGGGTCTCTGTGTTGCCCAAAGAGTGACATTTTGAGTGGGAGATGTGTAGGAAGCAGAGCCACTCATGGGAACCTTATGTCTGGAATCATCAGTGAATTCAACCAATCGTCCTTGAATAGATATGCTCCTACTGTGTGTCTCAGAACTGTGCTGTGCGCAAATGCTAGCAGGTAGTTTCTGTTGTGTATCCAGGATGGTTCTGAAAAAAGGCTTTAGGAAGGCAAGGGTATCCTCCATTGTGTCACCGTGGCATCCTCAGCACTTGAGTGGTTCCTGCTGCATAATGGGTGCTCAGTAAATATCTGTAAAATTAATGAATGAACTGATGAATTCTGTATCTACCCCATGATAGTCACCTCCGAAAGTTCAGGCCTATGCTAGGAGAATAAGATAGTCTCATGAACTGCACTCACCCCCCACTTCATATTGGTTCAGACTTCTTTGGTGCTCACTTTCTTCCCGTTCTTTCAAATACCATGGCTATCTGGCTCTCACATTTTGTGGTCATCAGATCTAAGTGTATATTTATATAACGTATAATATAAATATACTATATAATATCTATCTATCACTCTATCAATCAATCAATCAACCTACCTACCTACGTACCTAGAGGTAAATTGTTGACCTGCTGGGATACTCAGAGAAAAGGTGTATTCAAAAATGAGGCCAAGGTCATGGATTGATCTCAGGCAAGCTTTGTTCTGCTTCTTTTTTTTTTCTTGAGTCAGAGTCTCACTCTGTCACCCAGGCTGGAGTGCAATGGTACCCTCACAGCCACCACAGCCTCGACCTCCTGGGCTCAGGTGATCCTTCTGCCTCAGCCTTCCAAGTATCTGGAACTACAGGTGTGCACCACCATGTCCAGCTAATTGTTTGATTTATTGTAGAGATGAGGTCTCGCCAAGTTGCCCAGGCTGGTATCAAAGCCGTGGGCTCAGGCAATCCTCTCACCTTGGCCTCTCAAAGTGCTGGGATTACAGGTGTGAGTCACCGCGCCCAGCCTGTTCTGCTTCTTAACCATAGACAATACTCCTAGTCCAAGCCAGTTGTGTCTGGGGGACAAAGCACTGGGTTCGAAATTTTATATATGCCATCATGACCATCAATTTATTAGCATCGCTATATAGTGGTTTGTGAGTTAGTCATACTGATATCAGACCAGCAGGCTTATCACTGCGGAACAGCACATTGAGACTGCTGTTAATGTTGTCAGGTGTCCTTCTTGTGACCAATGGGACAATCCTTGCTTCTAAAGGTGAGTAAGCAGGTGTGGGCTGCTGCTTCCTGAATATCCTTGCAGGTGACTCAGCATCACGGAAGGTCCTTGGTCTGCTTTGTGAGGTTCTTCCATCCCACTGCCTTTAGCACTTTAACTTTCCGGAGCCTTGTGTTGCTCATATTCTGACCTGGGAATTTTTCCCTTCTTTTCCATGACTTTTGCAGTCATTAATGCCCTATCTCAGCGATATTTTCTTCAAGCCAATGACCAGAAGGATTTGAAAGACTGGGTTGAAGCCCTGAACCAAGCCAGCAAGATCACTGTAAGTATTGTTTCTTCTCCTTTCTGGGGTAGTGAACGTGCCCCTTCCTAGACTATAACCTGTTTGGGGTTGGGGAAAACTCAGAGGACAGCAGGGACTTCCAGGATCCTGGTCCAGACCCCGTTCTCCCCTACCATTTCTTGTGCCCTGGCTGACCAACCACAAGTTGAATCAAGAGTTTGAATTTGAATCAAGTTCAAGGAGAAGTTTGTGGAGCATCCCCTTTGTGCTTCCTGGGAGCATTCCTGGTCCATCATGTTTTAGGTAATTCTGGGATGCTGATTCAGAATGTGGTAGGATTGGAAAATGGATTGCTGACTGGGAGAAGTTGAGTAAGGGGAAAAGCATATAAGGAGGGAAGTCAGAACTTTTTCTCAGCTTGGAGGATACTCTTGTTACTTTCAGAGGTTGCCTGGAGGGTAGTCCAAGCCATCTGTTAACCTGTCCTAGAAAAACTATCCATTTGAAAGCATCACTTGGCTGAGACTCACACCTGTAATCCCAGAGATTCGGGAGGCTGAGGTGGGAGGATCGTTTGAGGCCAGATTAGCCTGGGCAATGTAGCGAGATCCTGTCTTCAAAAAATAAAATGAAGACTTTGCTGGGTGTAGTATTGTACACCTGTAGTCCCAGACACTCTGGAAGCTGAGGTGGGAGGACTGCTTGAACCCAGGAGTTCAAGGTTGATCTTATCACTGCACTCCAGCCTGGGCAACAGAGTGAGACCCTGTCTCAAAAAAAAAAAAAAAAGCACCACGGAACTGGTTCCCTGACTGTTCTATGAGTGCTCTCATTTCCTTGACTTGGCTAAGGAAGGGTACACTTCTTGGAGATACAGAAAAAGAAAAAGAAAGGGGAAAGAGTAAAAAGGAGGGAGAGGGAAAACTGTATGTTTTAGAAAAAACTAGACTTTTAACCAGCAAGACAAGTAGACTTCTGGCTTATAGACCGTGGTTTGTGTGTTGAAAAGTTTGAGTTTCTGTATCACACAGTCAGAAATACTTACATTTGAGGGATTTCCAATGCTGGTGACGGTACTATGGCAGATCATTCTCCCAGATATCTCTGGGTTTCATGAATACGTAAGTAGGAGAAATCCACACATCTCTTCAGCATCTGTGTTGCTAAACCCAACTGAGAATAACTGGGTGTCCAAGCAGCTTAGCTGGTTAGCTTGTTGTTCTGGTAAACCTTGGTGGACCCATGGAAAGAGAGATGGCAGTTGAAGGGAAGGGAGAGTTGCTGACTCACATACCCGGATGACCTGTGTGCCCGGGCATGTGATTCTAGAGTGGTGGCTTTAGTGAGGGTTTTCTTCATTCGTGTTGGGAGTCTTTGCCCTTCAGCGCCTTTCCTAGCATGGGGTTTCTTTGAGTGGCTAGTACTTGATTCTCATCCAGAGTTCCCTCCTGGATCTCTGTCTCTGTTCCTGCCTGCTGAACTGGACCAGACAGCCTGCAAAGCAGCAGGGAGGTGCTTCACCTTTCTTTTGTGCCTTGAGCCTTGGGTTGCTCTAAGCAGCTGGCTTCCTCTGCCTCTTCTCTGGCACCACAGGCTGCCCGAGTGGAGAGGCGCATGGTGGTGCCAGGGGTCGGACATCCAGAGGCCTGCTAGGATGTCAGAGCCTCCCTTGGAGTCTCCACAATCTCCAGAATCCTTCTTATTTTCTTTTGCTGGGTTCTACATCTCATTCTCCTGCCAGAGGTCCTGTGGCCCAGAAGGAAGAAGGATATTCTGTTTCCACTTAATGTTTTTGTGTCCTGGATGGGCTAACTCCTTTCTCTACTTTCACTATCATCCCATATTGTGTATCCTTTCTTAGGGAGGCTGGGATGAGTTGGGTAGATGCAGGGCTGTTGCCACCACATTGGTGAGACCCTTATTTATGAATGAATGAATGAATGACGTCACCCCAGTGGGAGTGCAGTGATGTGATCACAGTTGACTATAATCTCGAAATCCGGGGCTCGAGTGATTCTTCCACCTCAGCCTCCTAAGTAGCTAGGACTGAGGTCACCATGCTCAGCTAATTTTTAAACAATTTTTTTGTAGAGACAGGGGCTCACTGTGTTGCCCAGGGTGGTATCGAACTCCTGGCATCAAGTAATCTTGGCCTCCCAAAGTGCAGAGATTATAGGCATGAGCTACTGCATCTGGTCAACACATATTTGTTTTAGGGCACCTCATGAAGCACCAGGCGCTCTGGGGGATACAGGGATGAAAGAGGAAACAGATGCTGCTGCGAGCTAGACTCTCACACATGTTGTGCCATTCACTCCTCATATAGCTCTTATGGGACAGGTTGCTTTACTGCCATATTTTAGATGAGGAAAATGGAGATCAGAATCTAGTCTGAGGTCAAGAGGTTAGTAAATGGTAGAGCTGGGGCTCTAGCCCAGGTGCCCTGACTTCTAAGATTGAGGAGTTTATAGTTTATAAAAATATTAAAGATAAGCAGCAGTTGTAACATAGGTTACCCACTCCTTTACATACATGGCTTCATTTTAGCCTTGTAAAAACCTTAAGTAGGAAGCATAAGGGTTGTTATCCTCATTATAAGTGTGAGGAAATGGAGATTGCCGTTCATTTTATGCTAAGGTCATAGAGTTCTTACGATTGAACAAAATGTTTGACATGTATTTAAAGAATTGAGTTTTCTCAGAATATTAGTGTTCCCGTATTGTTTCCTAGAGTGACTGTAATAAACTGGGAGGCTTAAAACAATGGAAATGTATTCTCTCACAGTTCTGAAGAATTCTGAAATCAATGTGCCAGCAGGAGCAAACCCCCTCTGAAGACTCTTGGGAAGAATATTTCCTGCTTCCCTAGCTTCTAGTGGCTCCTGGCAATTCCCGGCATTCCTTGGCTCATAACTGCACCCCTCCATCTCTGCCTTCTTCCCTGTGCTTCTGTGCCCATTCCTGTGCTTCTTCCCTGTGCTTCTGTACCCATTCCTCTTCTTTCTCAGGCATCAGTCCTTGAACTTAGTACCCATCCAAACCAGTATGACCTTGTCTTAACTAATTACTTCTACAAAGACCCTATTTCCAAATAAGGTCACATTCTGAGGTTATGGGTGGACAGTTTTGGGGGGGACATCATTCAACTCACCACATTTCTTAAAAAGGTTGAAAATGGAGCAGTAAAAGTAAAGCACAGCTTTCTCTCCAGTTTGAATTATTCCTCTCTGCAGGCTAGCCACACTCAGTGGGAAGAAAGAGGAGTCTTTGGACTTGTCCCTGTGGGTCTCCCTCATCAGAGAATACTCCCTTGGTAGGCGGGGGAGGGCATACCTTTAAGTAGGCCTCTGGGATTGGGTCCAACCAAAAGAATGATCTTGCTTTCAAGTGAGTGGCTTGGTGAGGTTGAGTTTGTCTTCTGCGGGCTGAGTTAAAGTCTCAGGAAGTGGAACATCTTTGGAAATGCTCTGCATGGTTGATTTGAAGCAGTGCATGATATAGGAACACAAGAGATGGCAACCAGTGGTCCTCGGAATCCTGGGAAATGTAACAGCCAAGTTTTCATGAGTCCTCTCCTGGGCACTGGGAACCCTAAAAAGTGGCTTCCTTTCTTCTTTGCTGAGTCTCAGGAATTTATTCAGGTCATCTGGGAGAAAGTTTTGCCGCTCTATGATGGTTTTATCACTAATCACCCCAGACAAAATCAATATCCCTAAAAAATTTGGTCACAGGCCGGGCTTGGTGGCTCAGCCTGTAATCCCAGCACTTTGGGAGGCCGATGCAAGTGGATTGCCTGAGCCCGCAGGCTCAAGACCAGGCCAGGCAACTTGGTGAGACCTCGTCTCTACGATAAAATAAAAAAAATTAGCCGGGCTTGGCAGCACTCGCCTGTAGTTCTGGCTACTTGGAAGGCTGAGGTGGAAGATTACCACAAGTCAATGCTGGGTTGGCTGCGAGTGTGCCACAGCACTTCAGCCTGGGCAATGGAGTGAGACTCCTACTCAAAAAAAAAAAAAAAAATTGGGTCACATAATAGCAAAACTCACAGGAAACGAGAAAAGGTGGCCTACTTAGGTCATGATATTTAGCAACTGGAAGTCAGGCAGTCCTAGTGACAGATCACTTAATTTTAATGAGCTTGAGTTGACCTTGTCTGTAAAATGGAGAAAATCATTTTCACTTGCTGAGACTGCTTGAAGATGAGATAGAATGCAGCAGACAGCTTCTTAGTACATTGCCTGGCACCAGATGGGAGCCCAAAGGAACTGTGACTGCAGTTACCTCTCAGGAGGTGGGATTTCTGGCCTGATTTGGAGAGGTAGGGGGCAGAGGTCATCCTTGTCTATGTAAAATGAGTACACAGTCTGGGAAGAGAGGGTCACATCTTCTTTGTGGGGGCCCAGCATACTCAGGGTGATCCCACTCATCTGAGCAGACATCAGAGGGCATGGTCTTTAGTCCCTGGGAGGTGTTCTCAGGGGGCCCTGAGCTCTTGGAAGGGTCTGAATCCTTAAATCCTTCTGACTCTAAAGGCTATAGAAGAAGTGGAAGAGGACGTCAGCTTTTCTCATGAGAGCTATAGTTACTTCCCTGGCAAATAGAGGCAGGGTGTTTCATTCTCAGGAGGGTGAGCTGTGATGCTGGCACACTGGCCAAGAGTCGAGGTTTAGTCTCTGGTCAACTATACATTGTGGCTTTGGGAAAATGACTCAACTGTTCTGGGTCGAGTTCGCAGACTCTAGTATAAATGAGTGAATTACGCGAGGAGGAAGAAGCATGACTACAGAAATGAGGATAAGCGGCATCTGATGTGTGGCCTCAGTACTGGGGAGAATGGTAGAGACTGTGCAGATGAAGAATTCATTTTCTACCTAACAGGGAAACTGTGTAGCTGAGAAGGTGGATTTTTATGTGAAATATCCCAAATTTTAGATACAGATCGAAATAGGCACTGCATAGGACAAACAAAACATAATTTGGGCAGAGACTACTTGTAGGCTACCAGTTTGCAACCTCTGACTTGTGGTTTCCAGCTAACTATAATTTCTATCACTCATGCCTGTAATCCCAGCACTGTGGGAGGCTGAGGAAGGAGAATGGCTTGAGCCCAGGAGTTTGGGATCAGCCTGGACAACATAGAGAGACCCCATCTCGAGAAGAAAAATTTTATGATTTGATTAGTTACGGTACTGTAACTAACTCTGTCAAGGAGGAACAAAGATAACTCGCTCTTCTAAAAGGTCTCTGTTTGCAAGTATTATTTTTAATTAAAATATGTTGTAATAGGCTTTTATTTGTGTTTCTTAAGTGTTTAAATGTATATACTCTTTCATTTGATAACCAAAACAATGCTTATGACATAAATATCATTTCTCTTTTCATCTTATATGTGAGACAGTTTAGACATAAGAGGGCCAATGATTTGCCGAAGGTTGCTGAGGTGGTCGGTGAGAAGTCGAAGGCTACACCTTGGGTCTTCTGGCTCCAAAGCTCATGCACCCTCATTCTGTCCCTCGGACCACACACATTTGTACCTGTTCACCTGCCTAGCATGTTGTCTCCTGTCTTCATGTTCCAGGTTCCTTTTCATCTTCCAGGTTTCTGTGTGCACACCTCCGCCTCTGGAGACTGCCCTGCCCGCCCCATTTGAAGCTGTCCCTGCTGTGCTCTGTCTCAGCTCCATGATTGTCTTTGTGCCACTCACTCCCATTTGTGATTACTCTGGTCATTTTGCTACGTACTTTTTGTCACTCTCCCCTCCTAGCATGGAAGTGCTGTGAGGGCAGGACCCATATCAGTTTAGTTTGATGTTTGGTTTCTAGCCAGTAAAGGCTGGCTCATAGTAGGAGCTCAGTAAGTTTGTTGCCAGTGTGTGTGTGTTTTGGAGGAGGCCATTGCTGGCTGTGTTCCTCATCTTCAGTTTTGGACCAGTGGAAGGGCTGAGGAGGATTGGGGCATCTGCCGGTGACTTGGTACATTAGCATTTCTCATTCCCCCTGCTCTGCTTTTCCTAAGTCTTCTGTTCCCCACTGACCATGCTATCCTTCTTCCCAGGTACCCAAAGGTGGGAACTTACCCTTGGCGACTGAAGTTCTCAAAAGCCTAGCAGCTCCTCCGGCCCTGGAAAAGAAGCCACAGGTGGCCTACAAGACTGAGATCATCGGAGGGGTCGTAGTGCACACACCCATCAGCCAGGTGCTACAGCTTGGCCAGTGCTGCCACAGGATTGAGGGTGTGGGAGAGACTGTGGTGTGCCAGTGATGTGCACAGAGGACTGTACTGGGAAGAGGGCCAGGGGTGGTTGTGAGGAGCAGGTACAGATGAGGTGACTGAGAAAGTACAGGAGGGGTGGCTACGAGGATGGCCATCAGAAATGGGGGCCATTGCCTCTTGGAGCTTGTGGCCAGTATGGTTCTGCATTTGACCCAAGAGATGAGCATTTGTCAAACCCCTAGGAAATGACTGTGAAGGCCAGTGAGGCTGGACAGCAGCCCATGTCCCTCCTTCTGGTTGGGAGCTCGTACCGCTTCTGGTCTGCATTCTCTGTCCTTCCCTGTCTCCTGGGCCTGCCCACCCTCCTGGGCCTTGTTCTGTGAAGGCACCCAGCAGAGTGCCTGACGGAGCAAAGTACAGGTGTATTTTCCTGTTTCTTTCTTCTTTGCCATAGTGGCAAAGAGGCAGGGATCCAGAGGGTGTGGGTAGGGCTGTGGTTGTGACTGCTTAGAGGAGAGGGGCCGCTAATCCTTCCACTGCTTCCTTGCAGAATGGCGGGGATGGGCAGGAAGGGAGTGAGCTGGGGTCCCATGCCATCCTTCGGCGGTCTCAGAGCTACATCCCTACATCAGGCTGCCGTGCCTCTGCTGGACCTCCCCTTATTAAGAGTGGCTACTGTGTGAAGCAGGGGAATGTGGTGAGTGTCAGCCCAAGGCCTGGGTTGGGCCTCTGGTGACTCCATGGGTGTGGATGTGGCAGAGGGAGAGGAGATTGACGGGAGGTGCTTGAGTCCCCCGTGGAGCCTCTGCCTATACCGGTGAGATTTGGGGACCCACCTCTCAGAGTTATCACTTGCCTGCCAGAGGTACTGTCCCTGATATGAAGAATCCTTTGCCCCCACTGCATGTGGGAGCCCACTTCCATGGGGAGCTAAGCATTGGAACACCCTCCGTGATGCTGGGGACTCTCTTTAATGTCCTGCTCTTTATCTTTCACTGCAGAGGAAGAGCTGGAAACGTCGCTTCTTCGCACTCGATGACTTTACCATCTGCTACTTCAAGTGTGAGCAGGTTTGTAGTAGCTTTGGGGCCCTTCTGAGAGGTCATGGAAGCTAAGAGATGCAACAATACACCCCCATGGGAGAAACGATGAGTAGACGTGTGGGTGCACACAGACTTCAAAGATGCCCCGTGTCTCCATCCATCCTGTGTGCACATCTTGACAATGACGTTCCAGTGTCCTCTCTGCAATGAGCTGCTGTGTGGTCAGAACTACAGAGCATATTCTTCTTAGATTTTTCTTTTGCTCTTGCAGATTATTTTGAAGCTAGATTGTTTGCAAGGCTGGTTTTAGCCAACCTTCTCTGAGAGAAGGTCATTGGTCAGCAGGTCTGGGTTATGGTTTATGGCCTTACTTCCCATTTTTCCATTTTTCTCACCAGGACCGAGAGCCTCTGCGCACTATATTTCTCAAGGATGTTCTCAAGACCCATGAATGTCTGGTCAAGTCTGGGTAAATTATCTTTGCTCATTCTCTTCTGATCACACCTCTGTTTGTCCTCTTAAATCTCCCTTTTACTGCCCTTCTGAGACTCAATTCAAGACTGTTTTACCAAGAGCCAGGAGCCTAAGACCTTATGTCTGTCTCACTGTATCCAAGCTGACACCAGATGAGGTCACATTAGGCAAACGTACATTAGGTAAGAGTGGCAGTACCTCCCTTTGGCTCCTAAGGAGATGAGCCTACATAATAATTTCTGGTGGAGAAAAAGAAAGAATGTAGAAACGAAGAGGCTGGAGCTCAGATGCTTCTTGGTTGTTGGAATGAGATGCTCAGTCTCTGGCAGGGCTGGGGCTGGTGCCTTTAGGTCACCAACTTCACTATATCTGGTCAGATCACTCCTCATGCTAATGCCTCTTCCCTGGATATCTTATATCTTTTCTCTTCCTTTTGACACTGATGTCCCAGCAACACAACAGTGATTCGCAGCATCTCTGTGTGACTCCTGTTGGGCAGGAAGAACAAGTATTTTAAATGTGTTCCTCTTCCCATTAAGAAATGGTTACTGTCCAAGTGCCACACTGCATAGGATAAGTTTAGGACTGAGCAAGGGATATGATGTCCCTAAAACTAAACTTTAGAGACCCCAAGGGTATTGGACATCTAAAAGTCCTCTTTGTGGCCACCATCTGGAGTCTTCAGGGACCGTTTGTCTCCCCATCTCGTGGCTGTATGTGCAGAGCCTGCAGATGCCACTGGGTAGCTATTCACGGCAGGCCGACTGTTCCCTCCTGAAGTCAGGGGACCATCTTGTATGAAAGTGGAGTGCTGTGTGACCCAAGGAAGCCAGAACAGAAACTCTCAACTGAGTCTTGCAAATGACAGTTGCAGAGTACAGAGGACTGCAGAGGCTACAGATGACAACTTTTAATTCATGAAAGTAGCTATAGGTCGGGCATGGTTTCTCAGCCTGTAATCCCAGCACTTTGGGAGGCCGAGGCGAGAGGATTGCCTGAGCCTGGGGGTTTGAGACTAGCCTGGCCAACTTGGTGAGACCTTGTCTCTGCAAAAATCATAGAAAAACTAGCCAGACATGGTGGCGTGCGTCTGTACTTCCAGCTACTTGGAAGGCTGAGGCGGAAGGATTGCCTAAGACCAGCAGGTTAAGGCTGCAGTGATCATGAGTGTGCCACTGCATTGTAGCCTGGGTGAAAAGAGTGAGACTCTAACTCAAAAAAAAAAAAAAAAAAAAAGAAAGTAGCTGTAGATGGAAGTTCCAGAATGTGGCTCCAGAGGTAGGTAGTGGGCAGAAGAAAGAATGAGCATGGCTACATCTTTGACCAAATCAGCTCTGGGGGACCTGGCCAAATGTGAGACCACCTGAGGATACTGGGCAGCTTAGTGAACCAAGGTGGGGTTCAGACCTAAGAGGGCCTTGGACTTGTCCTAAATCTAACTCTGCCAGAGTCATACTAAACTCTGAGTCAAAGACGCAAGTTAAGACCATCAGGGCAGGAAGTCCTTGGAGCTCGGCAGCTTCCAGCCCTGTGAGGCTGTTTGGCCTCTCGAGAACCCAGTCGGGGGTTTAGGATGTCTGGGAAATCCGTAAACATTTGTTCAAGGGAATTGAGTTGAGTTGAATTGAATTGAAAGTCACCACACAGCCTGAGAAGCAGATGTGCAAAGGATGGAGACCTCCCACCTGCTCTGCTTTTACCTCCTCAGGAGTTGTTGATGTGATTTTACTGGATGTGCAGGAACAGTTTGAAAGGTGAAAATAGTTTAGCCAGAAAGAGGAGCCCTTTTTAATTCAGAAACGCAGACAATGCTAGTAGTTGGGGAAATGTGTTTTGAGTGACTGTGCCACAGCACGCACGATGCCAGATGCCTTCTGTACCTTCCCGTTGGTCTTTGTGGTGACCAGCCTGGCAATGGAGGTGCTCTCAAGTCCAGTCCACACTTGGGGTTGCCAAGGTTCACAGGGATTTTGACATTTCTGAAGTACTGTTTCCTTAAGCATAAGCCAGGATTCAGCCTCGAGTTTGACCTCTATCTTGTTGCTCCCTTCCTCATGCCTCTGGTCACCGTCTCCTTTGCCTGGGGGCCTGTGGGACTGGCCAAGCCCCTGCCTTTTCATTTCAACCTTTCATTCCTGAGGCCAGTCCCGCTGGGGATCTGTTCTTCCTTGGAATGATTCTAACTCTTGGCATACAACACATGGTCTGTCATCTGACCGTGTAGCCTTGCTTTCTTATGTTCTTTTATTGGGTAGGAAGTAGATCTTTGCCTCCTGATATATTCCCTGCAGTGGCTGGTTATACACAGCAGGCATTCAACACTGGAAAATAATTTTGATTGCTTGGAGGTTTGGAGGTTTGTTGCTGAGTATCCACTACTTCCTGCCCTCTTCCTTACGGAAGTCAGGTGTTCCGTTTCAAATCCACACCCAGTTGGAGGCACCTTCAAGTATTCTCCTCTCACCTGCTTTCCCCCTCTTTAGCCCCCATCTCCGGGTCCCAGCACAGGGAGGCACAGAGCAAGAATGGAGTGATGCTGCTGGGGCTGCTGCTTGGGTGGGAAAGGTTTGGGAATAAGAGCTGACTCCCTTGGGAGAGGCAAATGCCATGCAGTCACTAAAAGCATAGACTCTGGAGTCAGACCTGATTCAAATCTCAGGCACTGTGGGCAAGTCACTTAAGCTCTCTGAGCCTGGGTTTCCTCATCTATAAAACGGGGAAAGTCTTAAGTGCCTCCCTGGGTTATTGTGAAGATTGGTTGAAATAATGTGCAGGGCAACCCCTTCAGGTCCCCTCCCACTGTGGGAACTTTTCTGTCCTCTCAATAAATCTTTCTTTTTTAAAAAAAGAAAGAAAGTAAGAAAGAGAGCAAAAAGCACTCAAAACAGTCCTTCATACGTCTTAGCCACAAAAGAAAGGAAAGAAGGAGGGAGGGAGGAAGAAAGTGAGGAAGGAAGGATAAAGAAGAAAGGAAGGAAGGAAAGGAGGGAGGGAGGGAGGAAGAAAAAGGAAGGAAGGAAAGAACAAAAGGAAGGGAGGAAAGAAGGAAGGAAGGAAGAAAGACCCATGGGAGGTGGGGATGGAGGTGGTGATATTAGGCAGGCGGTTTGGAGGGAAAGAGCTTTATCTTGTTAGAACTGGTGGTGGGGGGACCATTTGGATGGTGAAACCTCTGAGACTCTCTGAAAAATGAGGCTGGAAGAAACATCTGGAGTGTTTTTTTGAGGCAGAGGCTGAAGGAGGAATGGCCTGGAGCCCTCCACCCTCTTCTTTTATGGTTGGAGGGCACTAGTGCCCTGACTTAGTACAAATTGAGTCCTCAGTGTGTGTGCCCGCATGCTCAGTAACTTTTTTTCTCTTTCTCTGTCTAGTGATCTCTTAATGAGGGACAACCTGTTTGAGATAATCACAAGCTCCAGGACCTTCTATGTACAGGTAAGATGCTCACTCTCAGAAGACTTGGCATTCCATTTCTGTGAATGGTGGACTGATAAGCCTTGCCCTTCCCTTTGCTTTCTCTCTCTCTCTCTCTCTCTTTTTTTTTTTTGCTTGATGTTTCTAGGCAGTAAATTTAGCCCCTGATAGTCAGAGTCCTATTTTATGCTAAACAGGATGTTTGCCAAAAGCTTCCCAACCATAAAATAATGAAAGCAGGTTGAGCTGCTCTACTGGGGGGAATGTGAGTTTGTACCAGCTGCTCTCTGCTGCTGGGCTCCAACTAAGCAGAGAAAAAGAGAACTGGTCAGTGATTTCACTTCTCCTTTGGAGGGTATTTATAAGTCTTGGCTGTGTGTGGACACCACTGTGTGCGGAAGGACAAAGGCACAGAGAGCCCTGTGTGGGCACCAGGTGCAGAGCCCAGCTGCACAGAGAATGCCATTGTTTGGGCTCTGACAGTTCACTTATCAGAAGCTTCTCCCTCACCCACGGCTTTGGAGTTCTCCCAACTCCTTCTAAAGTCACAGGAGCTAGAAAGGCAGATTTCCAAGCAGGGCCTAGACTTCCAGGGCTGAGTCCCTGACCCAGCCTGCCTAGCAATCCACAGAGCCTGTTGTGGTGAGACTAGGTTCTTCTGACATTAAGACTGACGCAGAGTGTGGTGGTTTAAATGTGAGGCTTTCCAGCTTTTCAGGGTTCTTACCTTCCTTTCTTCTCCTCTGAGAGTATCTTTCCCCTCTTCCACAGTGGCCACCCCCGCCTCCCATTTCTTGGGCGGCATCTCTGGTTGTGGGTCCTGCCTCCTGAGCCCAGCAGGCATGCTAGCTACTTAGTTATCTGTGGCTACCTTCATTCAGACAAACACGCACCGTCTTGGGAAAACACAGTGGATGGGGGGATTGGGGGTCAAACTGAGCTGTGGAAAGGGCTGCTGTGGGTGTTAGAGCTGTTTATTCACTGGCCCCATTGTCATTCAGGGATAAGGTTTAACCTGTAGGTGAAGCAATAATTTCCAGTTCTTGCATTCAACAGATATTTGCAGATTATCCTGAGTGCTGGGCCTTTTGTCTCAGACTGGGGACACTATTAAAACAAACAGGTCTAGAACCGAGGGAGACAGATCGTCAAGTCTGCGGGGGAAGGAGTGTTGGGTAGATGAAGCACTGGGGAGTTTGCAGAGTGGTGAAGCTGTTCTGTATGGCACTGTGATGGTGGATGTGTGACGTTAGAACTTCACAGCGCAGAGTCGAGCTCAATGCATGCAAACTGGGATAGTAATTAAGAGGTCAGGTGATTCTAGTGAGACATGCAGAATGTGACAAACGAATCTATATGTGTTACCAGTCATCCCTGAAAGGAGTAGGGGAATACAAAATGAAAAGCAAGACGAAAAAATGGTGTGGTAAGTGCTGCCACCATTAGAGTGAGTATTGGTTGCCATGGGAACTATAAGCAGGGCACTTCACCCAGTCTTAGGGAGTTGAGGAGGGTTTCCTAAAGAAAGATACAGCTAAGATGAGTCAGTTGTGGGGGAGTGGCCCAGGAGAAGGGGTACCAGGTAATTTTTTTTTTTTTTTTGAGCTGGAGTCTCAACTTTGTTACCCAGGCTGTAGGACAGTAGTGGCACGCTCACTGCCACCCTAAGGTCGACCTGCTGGGCGCTGGTGATCCTTCCGCCTCAGCCTTCCAAGTAGCTGAAACTAGAGGTGCGCGCTACCATGCCTGGCTAATTTTTTGACTTACTGTAGAGACGAGGTCTTACCAAGTTGCCCAGGCTGGTCTCAAACCTCCAGGGCTCTGGCAGTCCTCTCACCTTGGCCTCCCATAATGCTGGGATTACAGGCTGAGCTACTGAGCCTGGCCCCAGCAGGTAATTTTTAAAGGTCTGGCAATAATAGGAGCATGGGATATAAGGGAGGCTGGACAGCTAGGCAAGGAGGGCTCTCGTGTGCCTCTTGAAAGGGCCTGTGTTTTATCCTGAGAGATGGTTAAAAGAGAGCCTTTAGAGGTTAAAAGAAAAGAGTGACCTGATACGCTTTGCCTTTAAAAAATATCACCTGGCCAAGTTATTGAACTTTCAGAGCCTCATTTTCCTTATCTGTAAAATGGAGATACCATCCTCAAACCTAGCCTTTTTAATAACACACTGTCACAGGCACGGTGGCCCATGCCTGTGATCCTAGCACTTTGGGAGGCTGAGGAGAGAAGATTGCCTGAGCTCAGGGATTCGAGACCAGCCTGGGCAACTTGGCAAGACCTCATCTCTACAATAAATAAAAAAAAAAAATGAGCTGGGCATGGTGGCGCATGCTTGTGGTTCCAGCCAATTGGAAGGCTAAGGTGGAAGGATCGCCTGAGCCCAGCAGGTTGAGGCTGCAGTGGCCATGAGCATGCTACTGCACTCCAGATGGGGCGATAGAGTGAGACTCTTAAAATAACAACAACAACAACAACAACACGCTGCCTATAGATTGCCTGGCCCAGTGCAGTGTAGAGGCCAAGATAGGACAAGAGAGAGCTGTCCCAAAGCTGTTGTGGTAATTTAGGCAAGGGATAAAGGGATAAAGGAAGCCTGAGCCAAGTGGATGGAGAAAAGTGGAATGTTTCAGAGATTTGAAAGAGGTGGACTTTCCAGGGCGGAGGGTTGGCAGGTGAAGGGAGAGAGGCAGCAAAGATCATACCCAGTTGTTTGGTCTAAGCCTCAGGGTGGCTCATAGCACCAGTCAGTGTGGCAGAAGCACAGGAGGAGGAGCTGTAGAGAGGATAAATGAGGTTAGCGTGGGTGGCTCTGAATTTATGGTGCCTGTGGGACATCCAAGAAGACATGTGATGAAGACCACTGGATATACACTGCTTGCCACATTGGTGATACTAAATAAATATTTGTCAAGTGAATGATTGCGCTGGGTAAGAGTTCAGGACTGAAGAGAGTGATTTAGGAAATGAGAAACCCAACAAAAAAATGTTCAAAAGACATTGCATCATCAACATGAGTGTATGCACATTTGCCAGGAGATTATTTTTTTAATGCCTTTTAGTGCTTCTGCTGGTTTTTTTTTTTTTAATTTTTAAAGATGTGGGCTACAATTCAGGGTTAGGTTTACAAAAGTTCACTTTGCAGGTACCCTTGTTGATGAGGTGTGACCAGAAGATTCTAAACACCTCTGTGCTCTTTTGCCTTCTGCTCCCCACATTTCTGGACTAATAGAACACTAGCATCACCCTGACGAAATTAACAAGAAAATGGAAAAAGTCTGTTTATAACACCTAACACAAAAATAATGGGAAGTAAGAGTATAGATTTAAAAAATCATTTAAAATATGTATTAATTCATTTAAAAATAGCACTGTAAAGCCAGTCACAGTGGTATGCACCTGTAGTCTAAGGTACTCTTGGAGGCTGAGGTGGGATGATTGCTTGAGCCCAGGAGTTGGAGGCTACAGTGAGTTATGAACTTAAAAAAAAAAGAAATTAGCATCTATCAAGTTTTGTTATAGAATCAAAAAATATTCACAATTATATAAAAAGGCTATTAAAATATTCTCTTTTCCAAATACATATCTGTGTGGGGCCAGATTTTCCTCATAGTCTTCAATCAAAACAACAAATGGCCACAGAGAGAATGCAGAAGCAGATAAGAGAATCCTGTTGTCTTCAATTAAGCCAGTCATTAAAGAAAGTTGTAAAAATATGAAAGCAATACTACTCTTCTTGCTGTTTTTTAGGAATCTAGTTATTTTCATAAAATATATTTTGTTAACTTATAATGAATTTATAGTTGCCCCTTTTTTTTTTGGAGACAGGATCTTGCTCTGTTGCCCAGGCTGGAGTGCAGTGGCATGCTCACGGTCACCCCAGTGTCGACCTGCTGGGCTCTAGCGAGCCTTCCGCCTCACTCTTCCAAGTAGCTGGAATTACAGGCATGTACTCCCATGCCTAGCTAATTTTTAAAAAAAAATTTATTGTAGAGATGAGGTCTTGCTAAGTTGCCTGGGCTGGTCTCGAATCCTCAGGCTCAAGCAATTCAGTTCCCTCCCAAAATGCTGGGATTATAGGCTGAGCCGCTGAGCCACTGAGCCTGGCTGATGCTAATTTCTTAATGTTTAAATGCAGTGTAGAATCTGAAACCATATTAATAAACTTTTATATTCTCATGCTGAAATCCATTGGTAAATTTTGTACTTTGAATAGATACTTCTTAATCCAAGCATGACTTTGTATCAGTATGCATTGGTCATTTGGAAAATAGCCATCTCACTGAAGTGTGCAGATTTTCGAATGTTGATACATTTTATAATATCAAAAATCACATTCATCAATATCACCACTGATATCACTAGCATAGAAAATTGTTGAGTTTATGGGAATAGATAAAAGTTTTCTGAAGTTCTGATTTTTACTTTGAAAGCTCAAGTTTGGCTGGGCGCGGTGGCTCATGCCTATAATCCCAGCACTTTGGGAGGCTGAGGTGAGAGGATTGCCTGAGCACATGAGTTCAAGACCAGCCTGGGCAACTTGGCGAGACCTCATCTCTACAATAGCTCAAAAAATTAGCCGGGTGTGGTGGCGCATGCCTGTAGTTCCAGCTACTTGGAAGACTGAGGCAGAAGGATCGCCTGAGCCCAGCAGGTCGAGGCTAAGGTAGTCGTGAGTGTGCCACTTCCCTCTAGCCTAGGTAACCGAGTGAGACTCCAACTAAAAAAAAAAAAAAAAAAAAGGCTCAAGATTTATCATAGTGGGAGAAACAGAAAGAAAGTAATGCTTTTACCTTGACATTACCGGCTCATTTCATTCATTTTCGCAATAAAGTTTGCCAAATAACTAAGTCTTAATAAGTTTAACAGTCTGTGTGCCACTCATTTGTTCCAAGTAAAAAATTGTTTCATGCAAAAAGTGAAAGACTGACTACTCATACAGTTTGGTGCTAAGGGACTGGCAGTTTTGTTCACCATGCTGAAGTGGCATTCTGACCTGCTTCCTAAGGTCATGCTTAGCA